CCTATGTATGTGATTCCTGTCATGCTCATATAATTGCAAGCAGCCGACTTTCTCTAACTGCAGAATGCATTCGATTTTTCGGTACCACCGATTTATTTCGAATCTCTCTTCGCCGGTGGATGCCGACATTTGCACAATGAATCACCAGTACAGCCATCATACGTTTGACGAGTACTATATAGAGAAGTACAAATCATACCTGCTTAACATATCATTGACCGCACTTTACTGACCTTCGATTGCTCGCAAAAACTCCGAACTCTCTATTCCCTAACATTTTCTAGCCACCGAACCGTTGCTAAATGTTTTATTATTATTTTTCAGCTCATGACACGCTCTATCTGTGCAGAAAAAAAGGCGAAAGCACCAGGAATCACGATGAGGATTGCAAGTACCATTCTATTCCAACAATCATATTTTCTATAGAACCTGACCAATGTAGTGCTTGCAAATTTTCGAGTGCAGCATATTTTAGCTTACAATTTGTGATCATTTTGAAGGTCTTGAAAAGTTCTATTTGCACTGGAAAAATGATGATGGTATCAGTAGCGATATTCAAGATTGTGTTGAGCATACTATCCCAACAATCAGTTTTCCTGTAAAACCTGAACAGTTTGGTCCTTAGAAATTTTCGAGCGCAACATATCTCACTTCATAATTTGTGATCATTTGGAAGGTCTTGAAAAGTTCTATTTGGACAGGAAAAATGACGATGGTATCAGGAGCGATACTCAAGATTGTGTGGGCCATACTATGCCAACAATGAGTTTTCCCTGAAAACCTGAGCAGTGTGGTCCTTGGAAATTTTTGAGCGCAGCATGTTTTGCTTAACAGTTTGTGATCATTTTGTAGCTCTTGAAAAGCTCTATCTCCCATGAAATTATGAGACTGATTCTGTAAACTAACGTGGTCAATCTGTGAGGGGATTCCGATATTGATAATGCTTCTGTTCTAGGTCGAAACGTCCAGAAGAGGTCTTGGAACATGACTTGAAAGAGGTTCAGGTGCTTTATCCATACTCAGAGAAACATGAAATTCAATTTTATAAATTGTTCTGAGATGATTTTCATTTAGGGCCGTTTTACGTGCAAACCCGCCCCCTCCTTTTTGTCTATACTGCATTCAGGTTTTCTTGATGAGAAATTTCAATAAAATTCTGATTTTCCAGCTAGACAATGAAATAGAAGAAATCATGAATAGCTAATAACAAAGTTTCCATTTAGAGTTCTCGTCGAGAATTATCGTACTGCAAATTTCAGGAGTTTTCGAAGTAAGTTGACCTTCGGATCAGGTGGAGTGTACATAAAACAGGATTGAGTTGTAGAGGAATACAATTACACATAGCAGCGGCTAGTCGCTGCACTGCAAAAATTTTATCAAGAGCCGCTTCGAATTGTTGCGATTCATCGAATAATAGTCAACAGTCGAGATCTGCTGAGTTTGAATAGGAACTAACAGTGGCTTAGAACTGAGAAATATTTTGAAATAAAGTGTGAAAACGGCTTTTCTGCAGGTACACAAAATTTTATTAATCCATACGACGAGAAACATCACTCAAGGAATCCATATTCGCTGTATCGGAACTACGTATGAATGAAATAAAAGGGAGCTTCTGTGCTAGTGTATGTTATTGTTTACGTTCATTCGTACGTGGGAATGTCTACAGACATATTTACACTATTTGTTTTGTTTAATAAATAACCGAAGTACAAGCTTCTTTCTAGCATGACAGGGGTGTGGGTGGGGTGGGATGTTGGTGGGTGGGTGCGGGCGTGGATGTTTATCTTCTCTTCATTTACAGCCAGAGCCATTCCCACTCCCACATCCACACCGACACTCACACTCACACCCACACCCATACCCACAGCCACACCCATACCCACAGCCACACACCCACACCCACACCCACAGCCAAACACCCACACCCTCACCCTTTAAATCCGATGGTTTCGCATTTATTTATTTATTTGATCGAATTTAGAAGTTTAAATTGGAAACGAAAAAAAGAAAAGAAAATAAATATTTGAACACTGATTTTCGTTTCTGTTAAATAAACCTTAAAATATGAATGTTGATGGGAAAAAGAATTGTATCTAGATTATCCATATTCTACTTGATCTTTTCTTATGCCATATTTGAAAACCATCTGTTTTAATTCAATAAAAAATAAAATTATTTTTTCTTTTTTTAATTTATTGAAAAATATATTCATGTAGAAATTCACTACATAAACTAAAATATTCAACTATATTCTTTCTTTTCTACTTTTTTTTTTAGTATTTCTCATTATATTTCTATTTAATTCAATATGAAAATGAAGACAACCGTTAATGATTTGTTTCTTTTTTTTTTCTTTTAGATTTTCGATACTTGGTTTATCTTTATTGTGAAGTGAAATAGATCACATGAACAAGACAATACAATCTTTAAAAGAAATTTTGTCAATGAAACGAGATATGAAGGATAGATGTGCGTGTCAGATTGCATATCTCTGATGATTGATAGTTCTGTATTCTTTCAATAGCCATCTAGATTTACATTTTTCCTCTCTTCTCTTCTCTCTTTACCTTTAGTTCAGTGTTTCATATTTATCCTTATATTCTTTGAATTTTAATTTGGTGTAAACTTAGTAAATGACTCATATTCATATTGACATACTTATTGATAAAAGAATTTCATATAAAAAGAAAGAAAATAAATATTCTTTATTTGACATAGAGATATACAGGATAAGCTTCTTTTTTTTTATATATTGTATCTTGGCTGAGAAAAATTTTCTAAAATTTGAGATAATCTCGTCTTTTTGTGTACTCAAAAAGTGAGTACACTCTAGAATCGGTCAGTGTGTCCGGCCGTCCGTTTACACGATAACTTTTGAAAAGAGAGTCCAATCGCATTGAAATTTTCCACACAGTTCAGTCTGAGCAATGTTAAGGTCGAGAGAACCAGATGAGAACGATTCGTCAAGAAATGTGTGAGTTATCGAATAACTTATCATTCTTGAGAAGATCATCCCTGACAGAGGAGGGTACAGAGATTTTTTTCAAAAAAAATATTTTTCTCAAAATTCTTCATCACATATATAAATCGACTCAGTTTTTAACGGTGATTCCGAATGTGATATTAGTTTTGAACCAAATCGTAGCTTTCTAACAAAACATCTCCTAAAAAAAGGTCTTAAAATGCATAGAAACTGCTTGAAGAAAGCAAATAGGCTAGATATGATGTCTGAGATGATAAAAAGTAAAGTGAATATCCCGCTGTTCACTTATTGAAGTACACGTAAAACTCGGATTTAAATTCGATGTTTTCGAATTTATTTGTTAATTATTATGGAAGAAAGAAAATAGTCAACTTATTTATATGAAGTAATAATTTAAAGATCATACTGTGAAAATATCTGACGAATATCGATTAATTCTGATCTCAGCCCGATTGAAAAAATTTTTAGGCATGCAGGACACTATTCTACAAATCTTTTATTTTAATCTCCTTGAATCATATTCTTGTTGGAAGGTTTAAATAAGTGACAAAATAGAAATATATTCTTATGTTAGAGAAATGCGGAATGTGTTAGTATAAATTTGCACATATTTAATGGAGAAAAAGTAGAATTAGTAGATAAATATTTAATTATATATTCATGAATTAGAAACTAAACTAATATTATTATTATTATTATTGTTAATAGATTGATTCTGAAAATATCCATAAGTACTTGATGTTTTTTTATATAATAATAATGTAATTATCCTAGATGAACTTCCTTGAAATAAATTTACATTCTGATCAATTGTTTCATTTTTTCATTTAGATTTTAAAGAAACTTTTTCATAGTTAAATAAAATAATTTTTGATTTCGATATGTATTTATTAGTCAATTTCGAATTTGACAATGATATTTCAATGTCATGTATATTCTAATAAATAGTTCATTATTTTAATGAGTTTCTTTAGATTTGAAATAGCTATATATATTCTAGGCAAACAATAATAGAAATAACAAAAAAAGAAAAAGATAGATGAATAAAGAATATTGTTAATTTAACATTGAAACAACAATATTCTCTTAACTTAATAAATGAAACATAATAGGAAATATTTATAAAATTATTTTACTAATTTCTTTAATATTATTAATTATTTTTGTTAATATTTTTGTGAATAGTTTTACATAAATAATTATAAATTAAATAGACGATACATAAAAGGTTAAAATATATAAAATGAAAAGGAAAAAAAATTGCTAAATGATTTCTATCGTATGAACAAGACCAGTCAATGATTAATACATTAATATAATTATATATATTTGTTCAATTTGTTTGATTTGTTGTTGATCAATATCTATGATAGACATTTTTATAAACTGAAAGAATAATTTGATCAACTAGAGCTCGATTAGATCACACTCGAAAACTCAAATTAATTTGAGATAATTATCAAAATATTTCCTAAAAAATAATTCTATAATATATTTTACTCATTGAATCAAAATAATTAATTAAAATGATCTCGCATTGATTAATTGTTCATTTAATAAAAATAAAATTTTCTTTTAAATTTTGTTTACAGTTTAGATCAAAAATTTTTGAAGACAACTGATCGAATTATTAACAATAAATATCTAAACGAATAATAATATTCTTTACAATAACAATTCTTTTTCTTTTTCGATATATTCTCATTCATTATGAATATTTATCTTTATCTATAAGAGAAAAACAAAAATCTATTTATCATATATATATTGTGTTTGTTTTTCATACAATAAATCATGAATCAATGAAAAAGAAAAGAAAACATGTGACCAAAATAAAAAATAAAAACAAAAAAAAACCGAAGCACATCATAGCCACTATTTACTTTTTATAATTAGAATTATTCATAGTATTAACAAAAATAGAAAGTTTACTGTTATTATAATAGAATATAAGATTTGTATTTGATTTCAATAAATATATATATTAAATATATTAAATATTTATTTCTATTATAATTTAATTGTTAAAGTGAATTGATGTTCGAATTGGAAAAAATAAATATATACAAAGAATAAGAATGAGAAGAGCATAACTAATATATATTTGATTAGCTCTATCATATAAATCATTGGCTTCTCTTATAGCATAAGCCCATCTTCCTACAAAATTCTAAAAATTGTAAATAAAAATAAAAATTCTTTTGTTTTTTACGTGTATAAATAGCTAATGCAATCATGGAAGCAAATAGACCCCAAATAGCAATAATAATTAAACAACAGGCACATATTGCTAGACCACCTATTGGACTAAGTAAACCAGATAAAAGACTTGTCATTGATCAGTTTTTTTTTTTATAAAGACACTCGTTTCGTCTACAAGAGACAAAAAAAATGAAGACAAATGTTATTAACCTATAAGAATTAATTTGATATATATATATATATATTTGTTTTTTCTTTCTGTCATAGAAATAAAAAACGAGATAAAGAAAGAGAGAAGCAAAATAAAAAAGAATTATCCTATTTCGTATATTGAATTTACTGCCGTAAATAAATGTTCAAAAGACACGCATTGCTTAGATGGAATTTAAAAAGAGAAGAATTTAGTTGAATTGTTTTTTTTTTCGTTTATTCCTACTCTTCCACCCTATTGCTCATTTCATCTGCATAAACGAGTCATTAAGTACAGTTATATAAGATAATTCTGAAATTTTTTTTAAGTTTAAATTTTGAAATTTTATGGCAAAATATTCTAAATGTCATTATTTTAATGCGATATTAAATTGTTAAATGTAATGGATTTAAATATCTTTTTTATATCGAACTGTTAATTCTTCTTTTTCTTTTTTTTTATCGAAATAAATGTAGGAATATAATACATAAATAAAAATAAATATGATCATTTTATTTCTTTTTTATCTTTACTATAAAAATTTATTAAAAATTTTTCTGTTAATTATGAGTAATATCTTTTTATTTAAAAAATAAATGGGAAAACCTCGGATTTAAATCCGAGTGTTATGTGTACTGCAAAAAGTGAAGAGATATATTCACTGGTTTTTATCAACTGAGCCATATTTAGCCTATTTGCTTTTTGCATGCAGTTTTTCTGCATTTTGAGACCTTTTTCAGGCGATGTTTTGTTAGAAAGCTACAATTTGGTTCAAAACTAATATCAGATTCGGAATCAGCGTTAAAAACTGAGTCGATTTATATATGTTGTGAATAATTCTGAGAAAAAAATGTTTTTTGAAAAAATCCCTGTACCCCCCCCCCTCGGGGATGGTCTGATCAATAATGACAATTTTTTCGATAAATCAGCCATTTCTTGACGGATCCTGCTCATCTTCGAACTCGACCGAGACATTTTTGAGACTGAACTGTGTAGAAAATTTCATCATGATTGGACTCTTCTTTCAAAAGTTATCGTGTAAACGGACGGCCGGACACACTGACCGATTCTAGAATGTACTCACTTTTTGAGCACACAAAAAGGGTGTGGGGTGTGTGTGTGTGAGTGTGCGGTGTTGATGTGGGTGTCCGTATTACCTGATCTAATATAAACCCATATCCACACCTACACCTCCAGATGCACTCACACTCACATCCAACCCACACCCCACCCTTACCCACACCCTCGACTTTATTAGCGCATTTCAAGTCACTGTAAGAATTTAGAGTGGTTTTTCATGAAGAATCTTGGCAAAGGAAAACATTCAGTCGGTACTTTTACTTAGACGATCAGAAAAGATTTACGCTGACAATTCTTTGAAATATAGGTAGCTGTAGTTGTTTTTTTCCCATCAGATCGAAGTCAAAATTTATACTAGATATTCAGTAAATTAAAATGGCGATGCTTTCTAAAGCAATAAATTGATTTGATTCGTCAAAAGGTGATGTTTTTTTGAATTGTGTGCATGACATTAGAGTTGAAAATAACTTTTTATGAAAGTTAGCGATGTATTATGGATTCATCTCTATGCTACATTTATTTTTTTTAATGTATTGTTGCAGAATTGGATGTGGGTGTGAGGTATAGATATTAATTTCATCCACACTACACTCACCCATAAAGACTCGTCATTTTTTTGTGGACCATAGCTAGTGACATCAGATCATATAAATATGTTTTAATTTACCTTGGATTAAAAGTTAAATTTAAGACATGGTTGAAAACAACAAAAAATATCAAGTTTTGCAATTGAGAAACAATTGTAATTGAATACTTATGTTTAAAAAAAATAAACAAAAAATCTCTCAATAACGACCATCTTCCTAAAGTGTGTTCTTTAAATCCGTTCCAATTCTATTCATATTAGAAAGATTGTGATGTAGATTTTTTTCAAATCACTTCTGTTCTTTCTACAATGATACAACAGCACTATGCTTTTTCTTTTGTCTTCTTATCTTTCTTTTTATGAATGTTCTCATCCGTTTTTGCGCTTCCATACTGTTCTTTGACGAATTTACATTGTTTTATAGAGAAATTACACCACGACTCATAGAATGGAGAGATATCTATTTCAAATGTCACTAACGATGATTTTGGAGCTATTCGTTAAAGTCATTGAAGTAGAACCGAATTATGTGGGGATCTATTTGCAAAAGAATTCCATCGTAGCACGAAATTTCTACTGTGGAATGACTATTGTACTGTACGAACTAATTATTTTGAATGCAAGAACAAAGATTCTCCTCAAATGACTCTGCGAATATAATATGGCTTCTACGAAAAACTTTAGATGAATCTAAGATCAACAGTAATTTCTAAAACACATAGGCAATCACTTGCCCTCTACTCTACTGACAATAACAGACATGATATTCTGAATTTCTGGACTAGGAAGTTTATATTTTATATTAAATTTTAAAATCAATAAATATCTCATAAAATGAATGCTTAAAAACATAACAACTTTCCACATATAAATAGAAGTTCATTCTGTTTGTTGTGCTAACCATGCTTCAATAACATTTTTAAAGGCATAATTTTGGGTAACACCAGTTACTACGGTTCGACAAATAGGACAGACATTAACTGTTGTTAAATAATCATTGATAGCTTGCATTTCGAACATATGTCCACAAGGTGCTGTTGTTGCAGGATTATCCATAATATCGAGTGTAATTGGACAAGTGAACAAATCTTTACTGAGAACAGATCGTGATGATTTGTCAGCTGATTTTATAGTAGTTATTTGTGTTGGTAGCGATTCAAGATCAGACATACCTAAAATTTCTTCATTAGCTATTGTTTGTTGTGCTTTTTGAAACATTGCAGATACACTCTGGAATTGTGGAGGATTCATTACCGAACGTAGTCTTCGTGTTAATTTCTTGTACTGTTGTTCTAGAAATTCTCGAACACCTGATTTATCCAAATGAATGAATGATGCGGTTTGCACAGTAGTTGTTTCTGTAGTGGCTTTCTGTCCACATTCAATAGCATAATCAAGTTCCGTAATACCATTCGATGCTTGTTGGCTTGCAATTCGTGCATATTCACCAAATCCACGTAATGCTCCAGTAACAAATGGATCATGACAATGTGATACTAAGTAATCAATGATGATTGGTCGAGTAATGTTTATTGTTACTTTCTCTGTTGGTAATGTAGCACCTTGACATGTGACTTTGGCTATAGCTGTTGTTTGATTTATTAAATCTGTTGATCCCCAAAGCACACATGGAATTGTTGTGAGTCGATCACGAATTGTATAGATATGTGCATTGATTTGATCAAATGAATAAGAATCACCACCAAGTTCCTTCAATTGATCACGTAGAATATCAACATCTTTTCGAGTAGAAGTATTGTACAGTTCAATTGCACCATCAGGAAAGGTGGGATACTCTCGTTTAGATAAATATTGTGGTCGAACTACAGAGCCACGTTTTTGAAGATTCATTCTATACCATCCTTCAACTTCGTGTGGATCTGTGATAAATGTTGACCGTTCAATGACTTGACCAGTACGAGCATTGACTAGATCGAAATCTTTATTCACAAAGACACACCAAGCCATTGGTTCATCTGTATCAATAAATGGTGAAACATTTTCATAAACATGTTTCTCATAAGTAATCGAACCATCAGTCAATTGAAGTAAAAATCCTTTCAAAACGTGAACAGTAAGAATTTGATGAGTTGATTGTAAAGTTTCAGATGTAAGATCAATTTTTGGAGAAACTTGACGTAAAATTTTCATCCAAAATGTTGATCGATTTTTATCTTGATCGAGATCAGAAAGATATTTATTCGATACGACTAAACTTGATAAAGCTTGTGGGATAAAATCAGGAAATGTTCGACCCGATGCATCCATTACCCAAGCCAACCGAATAGCTGCTAATGGTTGTAATGTCCATACGCTATCTCTTTGAATTTGTTGTGAATATTGATATTGTTGAAGACAAAGTGGTAATTGACGTAGAATAGACATTATATCGACAGTACCATCCGGTTTTCGCCATATAAGAATACGTAAATCTTCAGGAATTGATATTGATCGATCATCAATTTTTGAAATTGATATAAAATATCAAGAATCAATGATAAAATATCGGGATCTTCTGGTGAATATAGAGTTTTCAATTGTTGTAATGCTTCGGATAATAATTCACTTGTACAAGTCAAACTAGCGATTCGAACATTTAAATAACCGATTGGTTGTCCATATTTTCGTTGATTTTCTTCTATAATCAATGCTCTTTCACTAAAACTCATTGCATCATCCCAAAATTTTGTTACTTCTGCTTTTGCTTTCGGATCATTAGCTAAATTCTTGATTAGCTTTTGTTGTTCATGTGCAAAGTTGTTCATTATTTTGCTTAAATAACCATACAATTGTTGACAAGCATTACTTGTTTCTAAATGAGCTTGGGATATCTTAATCAGTGGTGTTACTAATGACATAAGATTTCGAAAATCATCACCTCGAATACATCGTTCAAAATTGAGTCTTGCTGTTTCTTCGAGATATCGAAAAAGGCCAAGAAGTTTTTTTGTAAAAATTTGCAATTGAATTTCGCCTTGAGCTAAACAATTGTTGAACACTTGCATCATTTGAGTCGGTGCAAGAAGGTTCGATGGAATCGCATAACTTCCAATAGTAACAAATCCAGGTAAACGAGCAAAAAAAATGATGCTCACGTAAAAAGCCTTCAATGATACTGTCAAGTTGTGGATATTTTTCCGAAGCAATACCAATATAAGGAACATTAGGATGGACACTTGATGCTATTGCTTTTGCATGTTTCTCTTCAACACCTAAGGGAGACCATGGCGGTGCAACAAAGAAAACAGTATGACATTGTTCTTGAAAAGTCAATTGAGAAATATTGTCAGTAAAGGCACCGTCAGAAACGATGATTGCATCATAAGGTGTAGGGAATTGTCTTGTTCTTTGAAATGATGGACAGAAAGCGGTACCACCACCATTAGGTGGATAATTTCCTTTTGAAAATTCATCTAAAGTAAGTAATCGACCTCCGACTGCAGTATGTATTCTTTCTTGATGACCATCACCAAACAAGGATATGTATATTTGAATACCTTGATTTTGTAATTTGGTACACAGACCAATGATGGTCTGAACTAATGGATTAAAACCGGGTACGTTCATTGATCCACTCAAATCAAAATGAATAATTAATGATCGTTTTTCCATTTGAACATCAAATTTCATTAAATCGTCCAATGTTAAAATTGTCATAACTGGATGAAATAAAATTAACTGTTTGACCATTGTCACAATTTTATCCAATGGAATGGTCATTTTTTGAGATAACAGTTGAAGCATTCGATGATGAACTCGTTCTACATATGTCGAACGTTGATCCACAGGTCGATTAGCACAGATTTCATCGAAATTGGTTAGAATTTCTAGAAATTGCCGATGACTACATTTGGTAATATCAAGTTCAGATAGGAGAAGAACTGGTACAAATGAATTGTCATCTGCTGCTTTTCGTGCTTCTGCAGCTAGAATCTGTTTTGCTCGACGTGACATTTTGCGTTGCTTGAAATTATAAATTTTGTTCTGCTTTTATAAGCAGTAGTCATCGCCAAGTGCTGATGACATGTTTTGCAACATAATGCAAGTTAAATTGCACAACTACATCGCTGGTTGACAAATAAAGTCATTAACGAGAATGTATATTTTTATTTTTCGTTCTTCTCTGCTTTTGGCTATGATACTTATCGACAACATTATAAAAAAAACGCCTGATAATAGTATGTCAAACAAGATATTGCAATTGTTTGCCGTTTTTTTATTCATAGGTCAATCGTGTAAACACAAGTTTTACCTACTCATACATGGCCGTGCTCACTCTATTTAATGAATTTTTTTCAATAACTATCACAAAGTATAAATTAGACACGGTATATTTCGAAAACATGCAATTTTCATGCTGATGTTGCAGCAACTTAAAGTAGGTATTTTGACTATCTATCTGCATTTTACTTGGTTGTTTTATCGAAATTTTGATCTTGGTTTGGAAATGGAACACTTGATCCCTGTTGACAAAATAGTTGCAATGAGAATTCAACTTATCATCCAATTTTCAACCAAAGCAACTCTTACTATTGTTCTTGTAAAAGTGGTTATTATGGAATAAATTGTATCATGTACATATCTCTTCGTGAGACTTGTTGCTAAGCGAGCAGTCATCCTATTCCGCGATGTTGCTTATTTCGGGAATCGATTCCGCCAGCGGAATCAGTTCCACCGATTCCGGAATTCTATGTGTTCACAAGCTTATTCAACTCCGGAATCAATTGACAAAATTCCTGCAATTCCGGAACTCGTTCAATCTAATTCTGTGCTGTACTCAGCTATTCCGTGTGATTCCGGAATTGCATTATCTATTGATATTGGAGATTCTCCTATACATCATTTGCATATTCAATTTCGTTTAGGAATTTCGGAATCGCTTAAAAGCGGAATTAGAAGGAATTCCGGGAATTCCGTGTAATTCCAGAATTACATGATCTATTGATATTGGAGCTTCTCCTATGCATCATTTGATTATTCAATTCCATTTAGAAATTCCGGAATCGATAAAAAGCGGAATTGGAAGGAATTCTGTGTAATTCCGGAATTACGGGTGTGGGTGTGGGTGTGGGTGTGGGGTGTGGGGTGTGGGTGTGGGTGTGGGTG